AACTCATTTTTGGACGGTCTAATTTTAAAATTTTCAAGTTTTCATAGATATGTCGATTTACATTATTTTTGAAACTTTAAACTTCATAAATAAGTATAAAAATATAATTTAAGGCTATCACAAATATTTCCAATATTGAAACTGCATTTCTCGATACTATCTGAAGGTAGGCTCTAAATTGATTGTTTAGAGCCTAGTCTCTATACAAACCGCACCCATTTTTAAATAACCGTACCAATGGCGTAGTCTCGCAGGAGTCCGTTGTATGTTACTAGGGTGAAACCGTGAGAGTGCTATTTTGGAAGGATTTTTTTGATATGGAATTTTGATAACCAATTTGGATAAATTTAGTATTTTTGGAAAGTTTTGGTAAAATTTTACGCTCACTCTTGTCTACCATACACAATCCACTTCTTTTACTTGAGTTGAGAGTTTAGAGTCACCATCCTTCTTAGACCGGAATGTATTTTAAAAAAATGAATTTTGAATAATAAAACAAGTTCTGACCATCCAAAAACTAGAGATTGGTTTACAGTTTTGTGTTCATTATTTAGATATTTTTCCTGTTGCATATGAAAATTTTTATTTTTGAATTTGAGATCTAGATGAGGAGGTTGTATCTAACTTTCTACATTTAATCTTAGGTGGGGGTTTACCTGAGAGAATGAATGGACTGTATGCTCCTGCAAGGCCATGTATTATTTGGTTTGTTTTAAATTCTAAAGTTTCAAACTTGTATTTTGCAATAAGAATTTATATTTTAAAGATAATTGGGGACATGAGGTTCTTGTGAATGCGCGTTTCAGTGACTTTTTACTGCGATTTTGAATGCTTTTTGGGGAGTAGCTTTTGGGGGTTGGATTCTTTTACGAGGTGTTCGATGGAGGAATTTTTTTCCAAAGGTCTATGATTATATACTTACCTGATAAAATATTGATGATTGTGTTCTATGTGGACCTCTCTCTCTCTCTCTCTCTTTCTTTTCTTTTGCTTTGGAGCGGGGTTCGGGCGGTGGAAAGTGAAAGTGTACTTATTTTAGTTTTTTTATAGAGAGAGAGTAAATTGGAATACCTTTAATGCCCCTGTATCCTTGGAGCTCTCTTCACCTGAATTTAGGATGAATTTTGGCTTTTGTATCTCAATTTTCCTTGACTAATTGGATTAACTTTTCAATACACATGCCAAATTTCTGTCTCCAAATAGAAATTTAAGACCGAGGGACCATAGAAAAGCAAAGTTGTGTGTGAAATTTTAGGCCTTTAAGATCCCCATGCATTCGGACGCCTATGGATGCACGGCCCATCATGTGATTTCATTATTTCCTACAAGGTTTCTGGGGTATATAACACAGAGGCGTGCACCTTTGAATGATCGAAAATTTGAACATAACAGGAATTTTACTTTTTAAAATACAATATAAATAAGGAAAAAATATATATATGAGTTTGAGGCTCTAAACAATCAAATTTAGGCACACCTCACAAATTTCATTAGAAGAGATTGTTTTGATGCCTAAATATCTTCAAATTGATCATCTAGACCTCAAGATGCATGGACACGAGGAAAAAAATGGATTTCAAGTTTTAGAAATAGTGCATCTTGCAATGTATTTTTTGACCGTCAATTTTCAAGATTTCAAGTTTTCATAGATCTCCCCGATCTATACTATTTTGAAGCTTTAAATTTTATAATTAGAGATGAAAATATATTTTAAGACTATCAGAAAGATGTCCAGTATTAAAACCACATTTCTCAATAATATTTGAAGGTGCGTTTTATTTTGATTGTCTGGGGCCTTTGCACTATACAAACCACACCCTATAAATAAATCGAAAAACTTTATATAAGGTATTCACCTTATACTATAGAAGTAAGACACATTAAAAACCTCTTTGAAAAGGTTGTTCCGATGCTAAAAAAGCCACCAATTGGTCATCTTTAGCGTAAGATGTTTGAATATAAAAAAAGAAATGGATTTCAAGTTTTAAAAATAGTGCATCTTATAACATATTATCCGGACCATTTGTTTTTAGGATTTTTAGGTTTTATAAATATGTTCGATACGCATTCTTTTTCAAACCTTAAATTTCATAATTAAAGATGAAATATATATTTACAACATTGAAAAATTTTATGGTGCCAAAACTGCGTCTTTCAACAAAGTTTAAAAGTGTACCTTACTTTGATTTTTTAAGGTTGAGACCTTATACAAATTGCACCCTAAAAAGGATTCATTGTCTCTCGAATTCCAAACAATATGCGTTCTTATCACTTGCCATGTTCTTTATGATAATGTAAGCTTTTTCATCATGTACATGAGTGTGCTTGGCATAAGGCGTAGACATGATTTTCGGTACTACAGTTCGTTTTTTGTTTGATAATGGGAAACTGCCCTTACGACAAGGTAGTGATCTCATGCAAGCATTGTATCGTAGTATGATGCAACAATCTTGCGGTATCTTCAAAAGCCATGTTAAAATCATGAAATATTGGGATATCCATTTACCTTGTATTTAAGATAAACATGTATATATGCGATATCCACTTCCCACGAAGATATGATTCTCAAAACTATTTTCTAGAGAATAAACATGCCCTAAAAGTGTTGCCTCTTAATCCCATTGAAAAATATAGTTTTTGTCAATCCTTGTCTTATAATTTAATATTATTTTAATGAGCAACGATTTCGTGCAACAGTTGTATCGTATTATAATGCAATGACACTTCTAAGAAACCATGTTTATAGTATTTGTATGATCCAAAATTTTGCACACACACTCTCTTCATCACAATAATCAATCCCAAAAAAAAAAAGTTAAATTTGAACCTTAGATATGGTCAAAATGAGTCCCCTCCAAAAATGAACATAGACCATTCATTTGGCGAATTTCAAGATCTTAGCTCTTATAAACTCAAAATGATTGTTTTATTTTTTCACATTGTTCATCTGATGGTAATAAAGCCATCCAAAAAAAGTGAAAATAAAAAAATTCTTCTAAGGTTTAGATATGAGAATGTCATGAAAATGAACGGTCTATGTTAATTGGGCTAAAAACTACTTTCTGGTTTGTGTTTTCAATTTTTTTTTTTTTGTGATTGTTTAGTAGAATGAAAAGAGTGTATATTTCAATTTTTGGATCAAACAAATGGCCATAACATGGTTTTTGAAGGTTGTTACATCATATTACTATACAACCATGAAAATCATTGCTCTATTTTAATTATAAAATATTAAGCCCAAAAAATAATAAGGGTTCAATTTATAAACACCTAAAATAGAAGCCTGGATAATGTACAATAACCTACACTTAGGGCTTGAAATCTATTATGTTTCAAATCAATAATCGCCGAGGTCGAAATTACCGATTTGGTGTTTTTTTTATGCCAGAAAAGCATATTCTAGCATAATTTAAATTGCAGTCTTTTTTTATTTAAAATTTTAGAGTTTTTTAATAATCTCAACCATGAAGATGATCATGAATCTTGAATCTTTTCAAAAAAAAAAAAAGTGTGTTTTATATATTATTTTTTTTTTGACCACCCATTTTGGCATTTAGTTGGAGTGCAATTTTTTTATTCCTATATATATATATATATATATATAGGAATAAAACCACACTAGGGTGACTAGGTGTGGGGATTTTAGAAAATTGTCATTTGATCCATTAGGAGACGCACAAAAATAGATGAGTTGGCTCACCATAACCGGATGCTTTACCTAATTTTCTATTGTTTTCTCTATTTTTTCTGATCAACTTATATAGATATAATAGAAAAGATACATTTGCATACACTTTATTAAAGATACATTTTGTACAAAAAGAAAAAATAAATCAAAACGATTTACATACTTTGCATCCATTATTAAAAAGTCAAGGGCATTTTGTGAAGGCTTTTTACGGTTAGTCCGCTTCCACTCTTTTGGTGTTTGTCCCACCAACGGCCGTCACGGTGGGGACAGAGTTTCAAAAGAGAAAGAAACCAACGCACAAAGAACCGGCAAAAGTACCCTCTCTCTCTTTCTCTCTCTAATTTTGGTCTTAAAAGTTATATAGCATTCTTCAATTATGGACTAATTTTGTCATTTTCTATGAGAATGAAACCCTAATTATCACTCGTCGCTTATTAGCTTGTACTTAACTTGATTATATTCAATCTAATATCCGACCGGTGATAATTAGCGCCTCAAGGGAAAAAAAATAGTGTTTGAAAAATCGACGAGCTGACTTGAAATCACTTGACTTGCCTCGGATCTACGGAGGTCACTGGTTTTCGATGTCCCCAAACAAGGACTAGCGCACTGGGTTGTGTAGTGAACCAGGCCATTCAT